AATGAGACATGTATGGAAAACGAGACATGTATTGAAGCGAGACTTTGCAGTTGGCCAAACTCCACCAGCAGCTGCTTTACTTATCATTTATTAATTTGTTTGTGTGACATAATGAGCTCTGCATCACAGTGCTGTGACAATAAAAAGTTGGTTGTGTCCAGCCTTGGGGTAACTTTGTCACCCCATCTGGAGTCACTGGAAAATGGAATGCCAGGACTCCATGGAAGGCAAACCCCCAAAGAGCCCTGATTGCTGTTAATCACATTCCTGCCCTTTTACACTGTATTGATCAAGTCTCATGTTCACTTTGCCGTTATTTTATTTGGATCTAAAGGCAAATGAAACCGTTTCAGATTTCTCTGATAATCCTATTTCTCTGTTAAATTGAAGCACATAAACTTCTGGTTTTCCTGACTTAAGTCAGAAACTTTTTTTCTTTTCCTGACTGGTTTGGCTGAGCCAGGGGACACCCAAGGAAGACTCACAGTTCTGGTGGCTCCTCCACCTGCTCTTCCAGACCCCCCCAGGCACACGTTGGCCAGATCTGCTGATCTGCCCTTGGTAGAGTCCCACCATTCTTTGGGCCGCTGAGATTATCAGCTCCAATTTCTCCCCCAGCATGGCCAAGGCCACCACTGACCCATGTCCTCAAGTGCCACATCCACACAGCTGTTAAGTCCCTTCAGGGATGGAGACTCCACCACCTCCACCACCTGGGCAGCTGTGCCAGGGCTGGGCAGCCCCTTCTGTGGAGGAATTTTCCCATTATCCAACCTGAGCCTCCCCTGGCACAGCTGGAGGCCGTTCCCTCTCCTCCTGTCCCTGTTCCCTGGCAGCAGAGCCCGACCCCCCCCGGCTCCCCCCTCCTGTCAGGGGGTTGCAGAGCCAGAAGGTCCCCCCTGAGCCTCCTTTTCTCCAGGCTGAGCCCCCCCAGCTCCTTCATCCCCTCCTGCTGCTCCAGCCCCTTCCCAGCTCCCTTCCCTTCCCTGGATGCTTCAGTAGATTCACTCCAGATATGCAGAGACAAGTTAAAAGCCCTCAGCAGCAGGGCATTGTCACAATATCCAGGGTCCAAAGGGGAATTTTGGGTCCCAGGAGGAGTGACCAGGTGTGTCAGGAGCTGCCACTGTGCATTCTGTCTCTGGAGCACAGAGGAGGGCTCCAGGCTGCTGCTGGATCACCAGGAGCTGTGGTGCCAGTGCAAAATAAATAACAAAATTCTCTGAGCATCCAGGCACTGGGGACTTAGGGAATATGGAAAATTTACAGCACATTCTGCACTGGCTCCCTCACAGTCCTCTCCAAGTGTTAGAGGGACACAAACCCATCCTTCTCCAAGGGAAATCCCTTCACATCCACCAGGTCTGGAGGAACTGAGCAGGGGCAGGGTGCTGGTTCCACCCCCTTGAGAAACACAAAAGTGCCCTCCTGGACCAGTTCATGCTGGAGTTTGGGCTCACCCAGCTGGAACTGCTGCCAGGGGATGGCCACGTACCTCTGGCAGTGTCACTCAATAAACCCTGTGGGGACCCCAGCCCGTCCCACCTCTCTAATCCACCTCTGTCTCACCACTCCCAGCTGAAACAACAGTTCTGTGACCCAGCCCTGGGTGTCACCCACCTCCTTGTGTCACCACCTCCTGTGCCATCACCCACCTCCTGGGTGTCACCTCCTGTGCCAGCCGTGGGACAGCCCCAGCCTGGTGTTTAAGGCCCGTCTGGTGGCCCTGGGGCACTGTAGGGTTGTGGTTGTGCTGGCACAGGTGGTGAAGGGCACCAGGGACATCGCTGGTTCCTCTCCCTGGGCATTTCCTACCACGGCACTAACTGGGTGGGGATTGTACAAGCCCTGCAGACCTTCAGGCTGTCCCTGAAGGAGTCTCAGGGAGTTCTCACCACTCCATTACTCATCACCCCCCACCACAGTCAGCCCTGCACAATTCATTCCCTGGTCCTGGATCCCAAAGTGGTTCCCAGGGCTGTGCCTGGACCAGCCTGGGTAGGCAGGGACCTGTACACCAGCTGTGAACTTTACCCCTGTCCTTGCCCCAGACTCAAAGTGTTTTGGAACCAGAAACTGTTTTAGCTTTTTGGGGAACCACGATGGAGAGGAATCTGGGAGCTCTGAGCTAGAGATCAGCAGGTATTCCTGCTACAAACCTTTCAGTTGATTTTGCCCTCATTTCTGATTTTATTGGATTACTGTTTCTCCCCTAGAAACCTGCAGAGACGCTGAGCAGGCTGTGCAGTGAGGGCAGGGGACCTGCAGTCAGCAGTTTCCTGGCTGCCATGACCCTTGAGGGAGCTGTCAGGGACCTCTGGGGACCAGCAGGAACCTCTAATTCCTGAGAGCAAATCAGTCAACCAAAACCTCCCCCTGAATGCTGAGTTACCACCTCGTTTCAGACAGGACAGTTCAGGGATATGCTGTGCTGTTTATTATCTCCATGTCTGTGTGTGGTGGGGATTTTATTAAATTAGCACTTGATAGAATCATCTCATTCCACCCCCTGCCCTGGGCAGGGACACCTTCCACCAGCCCAGGTTGCTCCAAGCCCCGTCCAACCTGGCCTGGGACACTTCCAGGGATGGGGCATCCTGACTGGGTCGGCTCCTCACCCCCCAGGTGAGCTCCACACATCCAGCTGGCCACTGACACAGAGGGTGACGTGACCCCCCCCTCCTGTCCCCTGCCCGTCCTTCCCAGAGCCACTCTCCTGCCACCTGCCCAGACATTACGATGAGAGAAGTGAGAGGAACTAAAATCATGAAGCTTCTCTGCTCCAATTCATTGTCCCCAGAGCTCTGCAGACGAAGGACAGTTAACAAAGCACCACTGTCCATGAACAGCAATAAAAGCCAGTGGAAATGGGGTACTTGAACCCTGCACACTCGAGGCTTTGTCCGTGATGAAAGCCAAGCCTGTCCCTGACCATGCAGCAAAGCAATCACACACTGGAGAGTGTTTTCCTTTCAAACACACGCTGAGAGCTCGACTCAGCACGAGCCCGAGGCTCCATCTCCACTCCAGGCACAGACTCAGCTCCTCTGTGTGCAAAGACATTCACTGAGGGCAGAGGATTCTCAGCAACTTCCACTTATCTCCCAAAGGTTTTTGAGATTTCATTTACTTTTCACAAAACCCCAGCTGAAATTGTAGAATCATGGAAGAATGTAGAATGGTTGGGGTGGGGAGGGACCTTAAAGCTCATCTTGTTCCAACACCCTCCCATGGGCAGAGAACCTTCCTCCTTCCCTTCCTCCCCCTCAGAAAAGGGTTCTTGCACTCCGAAGACACAAAAACCATCAGCTGAGCTAAGAATGAATAGGTGTCTCCAGAGCTGGAGAAAAAGTAGGAAGTGCAGGAGCTGCAGTTTCCCACCACGTGTGGGTTATTAAGCTGACATTTTAACCACGCTGAAATATAAATCTCCCTGCTCAGCTGGCTAATGCCCCATTAGGCATGGGCCCCTGGCCAGGAATGGCCCAGCTGGTGATTCATTGACTCTGGGACATGTCCCTGGGCAGTTTGCTCCTGACCCAGCCATCATGTCCACCCAAGGAGCAGAGCAGCGAGTTTAAAACTGCCTCCCCCAGGGTATAAAACCATTATGGGAAACCCCAAGGAGCAGACAGATCCATAGAACCACAGAATCATGGAATCCCAGAATGGTGTGGGAGGGAAGGGACCTTAAAGCTCATTCTGTTCCACCCCCTGCCATGGGCAGGGACACCTTCCACCAGCCCAGGTTGCTCCAAACCCCATATATTGACCAACTCAAATGGCAGCTCAGCTGTTCTCAGAGCTACCAACAGCAACGCACTCTCCTGACGCATTTTCCTTCTCACAGCTCCCTCTCCCATTAGAAACCACATGGCTGTTCTGAGCAAATACTCTTTCTTTTGCTAAGGAAGCCAGTGCAAACACGAATGTTCTGAGGACATTAAAAAAACCCAGCGACACGAGCAGCTTTTGTACCCGGCTCTGTTATCTCCACTGGGAGAACAACAGCCTTTAATGAACAGACTTTCATTTCCCCTGTGCCCATCACAGGGTGCCTCCTTTGATCAAATCAGAAGAAAATAAAAAAAAAACAGAAGAAATGCATTGAGAGTGTTAAGAACGTTTGGGGGTTCTGATCTGAAATCAGAAATCTCTCTCTTTCCCTTTTTTTGAAGTTGTTACTGGGATGGCTGGAGCAGAGCAGGGATTGGTTTCTGTGTCAGTCACCTCCTGCATCATTCAGGTGTGAAGACCCCTGGTCCCAGAGAGCAGAGCACCTGTGGCTCCTGCTCTCCATCAGGGAGATTGAGTTTGATCCACCAGCTCCTATCCTGACGCAGGGCACAACATTCTGTGGAGCCCATATCCAGGGAGAGCCATTCCCTGACACCTTGGGGGCACCAGCCACTCCAGACGTTTGAATTCAGTTGGGCAGTCATGGTTTAGGGGATATGGGACAATAAAGCCTTTCCTGACCTCCCAGAGTTCTTCAGCAGGGAAACACCTTCAGCAGGGAAACAAACACCTTCAGCAGCAAGAGGTGCTGGGGTCCCTCAGCAACGAAGGCAGGACAGGCCACCCATCCTCTGTGCCGTGGTGAGCAGTGAGTTGCCCACCCAGCCATGGTTGATGTGCCAGGCTCTGGTCTGGTGACTGACAAGGTGTTCAGAGTCTGGGCACTGAGAGAACAGGTGAAGGAACAGGCAGAAACGAGTCTGTAGGACAGCAAACACAACCAACAGCAGCAGGTGACAGCGAGTCAGGAGGTGTAGGAGCCTCGATGCTCCTCAGCTGAGCCTGCGCGGTCTCTGACGATGGAGCACCCATGGGAAGAGGCTCCAGGAGAAACAAACAGCAGTGAAAGTGCTGATGACCCAAGCCCCAGAAATCCCACCACCCTCAACTTGTCCTGAACCCCTTGGGCAAACCTTGGGTGAGAAGTGCTGCAGCTCTTGGTGCTGCTTTCCAAACCCCGTCCCGTGTCCCCCTTCCCCTGCTCAGCACCTGCCCCCGCAGCCGGGGCAGGGACACTCCCCTGCGGGGCAGAGGAGGCGGAGGACACGCTCCCGGATCTGCCTGGTCTTCACCCCATAGACAATGGGGTTGAGCATGGGCGGGACCACGACGTAGAGGTTGGCCAGGAGGATGTGGACACGACTGGGGATGTGGTGGCCGAAGCGATGCGTGAGAAAGGAGAAGAAGGCGGGCACGTAGAACATGAGGATCACGCAGAGGTGGGAGCCGCAGGTGCTCAGAGTTTTGAGCCGAGCCTCCGGGGACGGGAGCCGGAACACGGCGCGGAGGATGAGCACGTAGGACACGGCGATGAGCACGACGTCCAGCCCCGAGGAGAGCAGCGCCGTCGTCAGCCCGTACCACACGTTGGCTCTGATGTCGGCGCAGGCCAGGCGGGCGATGCCCATGTGCTCGCAGTAGGTGTGGGGCATCACGTTGTGCCCGCAGTAGGGCAGCCGCTTCAGCAGGAAGATGGGCGGGAACATGATGCAGAAGCCCCGGACGACGGCGGTCAGGGCGATCTTCCCGATCACCGAGGGCGTCAGGATGGATGAGTAGCGCAGCGGGTCACACACGGCCACGTAGCGGTCGAAGGCCATGGCCAGCAGCACAGAGGATTCCACGATGAAGCTGAAATGGGTGAAGAACATCTGTGTGATGCAGGCATCAAAGGAAATCTCCCTGGCGCTGAACCAGAAGATGGCCAGCATTTTGGGCACCGTGGTGGTGGACAGCATGAGGTCAGAGACGGCCAGCATGGCGAGGAACAGGTACATGGGCTCGTGGAGGCGCCGGTCCGTGCTGATCACGAAGAGAAGGACTGAGTTGCTGAACACTGCAGTGAGGTACATCAGGCAGAAGGGGACGGAGATCCAGATGTGGGACTCCTCCATGCCTGGGATGCCCGTCAGGACGAAGGTGATGGGGTCGAAGCTGCTGTCGTTGAGCTCATACATGGCGCTTCGGTCCTCGGTGTCAGCCTGGCTCGGCTCTGCGCAGGAAAGAGATGGGATAAACAGTGCCTGCTGAGCCTGGATTTGCCTACAACCCCCTACAGATGTTACAAATCAGGGCACAAGGCACCTGCCTTCCACCCTGAGGGGTTCCCTCACTGTGCTTTGCTGTATGAAGCACCTTGTTTGTTCTATCAGTGCTACAAACTGTGTCTGTAAGGAAAACATCTTCTCTGTGCCTCCATCGCCGCCACAAACCAGGTCAGGCCCTTTCCTAGCTCAGCTTTATCCACTGTCCCACAAAGACTGCAAAAGTCATAAAAATAGTCATAAAAGTCACCGTCAGCCTTGTCACGATCGGTGGCTGCACCTGTGAGCGCAGAGCCGTGTCTGTGGTGGGACTGGGTGTTCCTCCAGGGAGGTGAAACGACAGTTCCTCACCCTGCTCAGGTCAGTGACTGAATCTCCAAGAGCTCTTTGCACAAACCACAAATACAGGGATGAATCCTGCCACAGTGCCAACACTGAGAAGTGTCTGCAATGTGACTTACACCCAACAGCACCTCTGAGGGCTGTGGCCATCCCTGACACTTCTCTCTCGGAGACCCTTTAGGCACTGGAAGAGACTCTGAAGTCTCCCTGGAGCCTTCCCTTCTCCAGGCTGAACACTCCCAGCTCTCTGGAGCCTGGCTCCAGAGCAGAGGGGCTCCAGCCCTTTCTTTTCCTGCCTTTTCCTTCCTTCCTTTTCTGCTCCTTCATAAAGAGGGGCAAAGACATGGTGGGCTGCACAGAGTGATCCTTGGACAAAGAAATGCTGGCCCAAAGCAGAAACACTCCAGAGATCTGCCCCGACGTCAGCCCGTGGCACCTCCCAGCCTCTGAACTCAGTGTCACAGTTCCTGAAGTGCCGGGGCAGCCTGAGCTCGGAGCTGGATGTTTGGAGCTGGGAACATCATCCCTGAGCTCGGAGCTGGATGTTTGGAGCTGGGAACATCACCCCTGAGCTCGGAGCTGGATGTTTGGAGCTGGGAACATCATCCCTGAGCTGGGAGCGCCCTCCCATAACTGATCAGCCTGCGGGTATTTTTGCGCATTTGAATAATGCAAACGAGCCAAGCTGCGGCTCCTCCGCGGAGGCTTTACCGTGAGAAGGGCTCTGAGGAGAAGGAGCACCACGGGACTGATGGGTTTATGTGCTTTCCCCCATTTTAGCCCCCCAGCCCCCACGTAAGCTCCATCATATGCTAGAAAAACTCCAGGCCAGGGTTGGGATTGAAGGAAAACCAGATGGATTCGGACCGAAGCTAAACCTTCCCTGTTTGCAGCCTGGTTTACTTTCATTGCAAACGGCAGATACCCAAGTCAGACGTGTTTGCATTTCTAAGCACTTCCATTAAGGAGGATTCTCGGCCTCCCTGAACCCAAAGTCCACTGAAAACATTGCTCGGTACAGAAAAGACCTTCAGCTCAACGCAAATATTTATCCAGTCTTCTCTTCCACTTGCAAGCCCACGTCACCCAGGTGAATCGAGCCGGGCTGGGTCTAGAACTGGGGATTAAATCCGCCTGGGGACGTTCCCAGGCCAGCCGGTGAGATTCCGTGTGGGCTGCAAAGCGCCTTCCCCCTCCACTTCCCAGTTTATGGAAATCTATTCCTCTCACACGCCGCTTCTCTTCCCTTCGGTCTTTTCAAACAGAATCACTGCCCCAGATCCCAGCGTTTGACATTAAATGACTCACCAGGAGGACCAGCCCCAGTGTGGGGAGAGGAAGCACAGCCCGGGCGCTGCAGAGCTCGGGGACCCAAATCCCCGCGGTGCTCCAGGGCGGGGGATGTCGGTCCTTCCCTCTCCCGGCTCTGGAGGGAGCATCAGCCCCTGCACCTGGGGAAGTTTAAATTGGCGAAGCATTAACCATTAACAGCAGTTAACACTCCCGGGTGAGGCATTTCCTGCTTTTCCAGCATTTGCATTGCAAGTGATTTTCCTCTCTCCCTCCCGGCCCTGAGGACCTGCGGGGGCTCAGCCCGGGCCCTCCCGGGAGCATCAGCATCGCGGATCTTGGGGAGTCTTTCGTCTGCAACGGGGGAAAATTGCCTCGATCCACTGCTGAAACCTCCCAAAACAACCCCCTCGTGCTGCCACAGGGGAGGGGATTCTCTGCCACCCGACCCGGCCCGTGGGCACTGAGCTGTAACCATGAGTATGACGTGAAGATCATTGATCAAATCAACAATCTACAAAATCATGGTTTGCAAGAAATTCTTGGCTGAGAGAGGGGTGAGGCCCTGGCCCAGGTTGCCCAGAGAAGCTGTGGCTGCCCCTGGATCCCTGGAAGTGTCCAAGGCCAGGTTGGACGGGGCTTGGAGCACCCTGGGCTGGTGGAAGGTGTCCCTGCCCATGGCAGGGGTGGAACAGAATGAGCTTTAAAGTCCCTTCCCACCCAAGTCATTCTGGCATTCCATGATTCTTTGATCGTAAATTGAGTTTAATTTGGTTCAAGCACTCACAGGTACATATGGAGACCCAGTTGTATTCACTTCCCAAGCTTTTCCCTTAAAAAACAACACCCCAAGTTACATCCTCTGTCACATATTTTAAAAAAAAACCCCACAGTTCAAAAGCCAAGGGTGACCTGGCCAGCCATAAATTGCATTTATTCTGGAATGGTTGGGCAATTATTTATTTCAGCTCTTCAAAACACTGTACTACCTAAAGTATTTCTAATCAAGTGCAAGAGTAAACTCATCGTACAGAGCAATGAGAATACCTTTCCCTGACATGGAAGATTATTTCATGTGAAACACTTGGGGTTTTTTCCCAGAAATCTGATGTGACAGATTATGCAATGAGGGAGGACACAACCACCTCTCGCTCCCTGGCAAAGCAACATCTCCTCCAGCCATTCCCTCTCCAGATTTGCTGTATTTCCCATTTCCTACACTACTGTGTCTCCAGGACAGGGCAGCAGCAGCAGGAGGAGGAATGTTCCCTCCCAGCCCGAGCTCTGACCTGCTCCATTGGCTGTGATGCTTCTCTGCACTCAGCTTCAGCCCCACTAACACTAAATTAATGTGATTTTCACCCAGTTCTTAATAGAACGGTTGTGTTTCTTCCTCAGCTGGAACCACAGAGTCTGCAGCAACAGGGGAATTCAAAGAGAAGGTACAAAATGGAGTTTTGTCCATGAACTGGTTCCTGATTAAACCCCAGTGATGTGGAGCAGGAGAGGGACAGAGGCACCCACGTGGTGGGGACAGAGACAAGGGGCTGTGCAGGGGGAGAGCTCACTGTGGCCCTGCACCCCAAAATCCTCAACCCCCTGAACCTGGGTACCATCATAAGGGTGGGGAGGCCCTGGCCCAGGTTGCCCAGAGAAGCTGTGGCTGCCCCTGGATCCCTGGAAGTGTCCCAGGCCAGGTTGGACGAGGCTTGGAGCAACCTGGGCTGGTGGAAGGTGTCCCTGCCCATGGCAGGGGGTGGAACAGGATAAGCTTTTAAGTCCCTTCCCACCCAAATCAGTCAGAGATTCCATGATTCTGTGACCCCTAAGATCATCAAGTCCAAAACTGTCAGAGAAGACAATTCTGAGCAGTGCCCTGCCCCCCCCAGCAACACTGACCCCAGCCCTGGCCCCTCCACCCCAGCCCTCCAGGGCCCTTTTCCCTGGGACACATCTCCCTCCTCCCCCAGAGGCAGGGAATGCCTCCCCATGGCTCCTGGGGTCAGACAGCAGCGGGAGAGGGAGGTCCTGGTCTTGCAGAAGGATCCAGGATCCAAGAAAGGCAACAACTCTCTGACAAGGCTCCACCACGGCCGCAGCAGCCGGGGAAATGTTCAACGGGAGCCAGGCAAAAGTGAGAGCATTAAAACGTCGGGATCGTCTCTCCTCCGCCGCCTCGTGCATCTCAAATTGCAGCATTTGGATTGGATTCCCTCACTTTGGCTTTAGGAAGGGATTTGGATGATGCTCTGAGCTCTCCCGGGTGAGGGCTGGGCTCCCGCCAGGGTGGGCAGCGGCTCCTCCGTCCCGGTGCCAGCACTGAGCCACCCTGTCCTGGCCAAGTGGAGCTGTAGGGGAAATTTTTCCATTGCAGGTTGGACTCTGTGACCTCGGGGATCTTTTCCAAGCTTAGTGATTCTGTGATTCTACAGAACGGAGGATGTGCTGCTCTGCACCCCGAACACGGGGCTTGTGCAAGGAGCTCCAGGTTTCCTCCCTGCTGTGGACACTTCCCACCTCGGGCTGGTTTCCAGGAGCCTCTGTGGGGTACAGCGGGAACCCTCGGGGTACCCGGCATGGCCGGGGCTGAGCAGAGCCCAGGAGCAGGGACGGAGTCCCAGAAATAGAGGTGTCACTGTGAGGAGCAGGACACAGGGATTACCCCTACTGTCCCCAGAGCTGGGGCACTCACAGGGTCTCTCTGGGGCTGGTGTGAGGAAGAGGAGCCCACAGAGCTCCTTGGGGTGCTCCAGCCTGCACAGGAGAGGTGAGACCGGGCAGCACGGCTTGTGTGTGACTGGAGAAATGCTGAGACTTTGGGAGGATGACTCTAGAGGTCCCTGTGAGGCAAGAAATGGTCCTGCAGCCCAGTAGCTCCACAGGGCTCCTGGTGGCATCACCCAGGGGCCAGGGGAGGTGGCAGGATCAGACCCCACAGGCACTGGGCAGCTGGTGTGGGGTCACCAAGAGGGTCCAGGCAGATGCTGTGGAGGAGGACCAGGGCAGAGAGGGCAAGGATGTACTGCAGCCTGGCACAGAGTGGGACACAAGCCCCATCTGTCCTCCAGGACATGAGGGGTGTCCGTGGCATGTCCTGAGGCAGCCCCTCACCGAGACCTCACCGTCCCCTCAGGGTAAGGGGCGTTTGTACCACGGCTGCAGCTGGGTCTGGCTTCAGCAGAGCCTTAAAGAGATGGACCTGAAGTGTCCAAGGCCAGGTTGGACAGGACTTGGAGCAACCTGGGCTGGTGGAAGGTGTCCCTGGCCACGGCAGGGGTGGG